GCGAGCGGTTTCGCGTTCTCCAGAGAGCTTGCGATCTCGTCTATTTTTGAAATAAGAAACTTTTTGAGCTCATATTAATAACGTGCTCGTTTATATTGAAGCTCTTTGATATCCGATCCTGTCAGAAAGGAACAAACACGAGAGTGAAGCGTGAAAAAACAAAAGCGAATCCAGAAAAAACAGCAGCAAATGATGCGTCTGCAGCCTAAAACATGAACGCAATGCCATGTTGAACTATTATGAGCAGCTTCTGGACTATTATGAACTCAGAATGATGGAGTTACTCTAATGCTGCGTTCACACTAGATGCGTAACACGCGTCAAGCGCATTTACATGTTAAGTCAATGCAAATGCGCGAATAGACATCCTGCGGCGCGATACGCGTGAATGACGGCACAAATGACAAGAATTGCGTGAATGGTGCGGTGCGAATGACGTGATACGTGCGAATGGCACGGCACGAATTGAGCATTTGTGCATTTGATGCGCGTTTCACGTGAATTGCTTGAGTTCAAAAGTCTGAACTTCAGCGGACATTCGCGCCGCGTTAACCAATCAGGAGCTTGCTCGTGTGGGGGCGTGATTGTGACGTACACCAGTTGTTGGAGTCCCTGGGGAAATCCTCCAGCCGACACCGACAACAAGTCATCAAACTGGGCTGGGCTCAGTCAGAAGCACCGCTGAAAGCCTCCGTCAGCCAGGTTCAGTTTCTGAACGAGTTTATGAGCTCACAGTGCTGGATGCACCTCTGAAAGCATGTAGTGGACTCAGACACGGCCATAAACGTATCGACGCTGTTTATTATCCTTCATAAAGCACATAAACACTGTTATTTTCTTCATAAAATCCATGTTAACCATTTAGCAACATAGCTACAGTCATCGGGCAGACAGAAGCCCTGCCCATCACGCGAATCCGCGTCTGTTCTGAAGTGAATTTGACACGCGAATGAAGCGAGTAACCTCAAATGTTCAATTTACGCGCGAATAGCACGATTTATCCATGCGTTCCGCGTCTGGTGTGAACAGCATTACAGAGGCTACACGTGCTGCTGAAGATTACACACACAGATGAGAGGTCTGCTCTGACTCTGGGATATATTTCCTGTTGTTTTTAAACCTGAATAAGGACTAAATGTCTGCTGTGTGTGATTTGTCTGTAATTGGCAACATAGCGGAGACTGCAAGGGGCTGTATGTGTTCATATACGTTCATTTATTTATACTCAAGTCCTGTTGATAGAAAAGTTAATAATGAACATTTATACAGTATTTATGTGTATAAAGCATCTGTGTTGTAAGAAGTGCTTCTCATATATGTGAACGACCCGTACAGCTGTACTGTAGACATTTCCTGGAGTGAAAAATACGTCGTCTGAAACTTTGTCGTACACCACGCCCACCAAAAGAGTACCATTGGTACCCTTTCAGCAGTGGAAACGCAAGCCTGATAAAGGTGAGCCGTACCGTACTGTACCACTCAGTGGAAACCAGCCCCTAGTGGTTGAGCTAGGTATTGCCGTCCAAATTTAAAGTACAGGAGAGGGTTTTTTCACCTGGTTGCCAGACAGATGATGTGTTTCTGTCCTCCAGAGGCGGCATTTTCAGCCGCTTCCGCAAACTAATCCGGAGTTAAAAGGATAGATAGAATAGATAGGGGGTCGAAGGATGTTAGGTTATTTATTTTGGTTGGCAAGTATGTGAAATTACAAATGCATGCAACGACAAACTAATACAACTCACAATAATAGCAGGATGTTTGTTTCTCACTCATGCTGTAGTAACTGAATCCTAAAGGGCACATAGTTTACCCCTTTTTTATGATTTAATATTAATATTCTGGTTGTTCTGAGTGTGCCAGTTTAGGTTCAGTTCAACACACAGTTCAGGGGCCTCATGTACGAAGACTTGCGTGGAAATCTTACTAAAACATTGCGTACGCACAAAGCTGTAAATGTGCGTACGCAGTGTTTCGTACATCTGAATTTTTTTCTGCCGAATCTCACGCATATTCTTTTGTACATCAGAATGAACGTGAAACTGAGCGCAACATGCATGAGCGCAAAACCCCTCCCTGCCTCCGCCCCCGTATGAATATGCTAATGACTATGCTAATGGCAAAACCCAACGAAAAAGCAACGGCAAAATCAAGCAAGAAGAGAAACTTTGAACAGAATGTGAATTGGAGGTGCTGCTTTCGGAGGTAGACCGGAGGAAAAGCGGTGTTATTTGCAAGTTTGTTCTCCGGAATTAACAACAAAAGAAAAAAATAGAGTGGGAGAGTTTAGCTGATGCGGTCAACACAGTTGGGTCTGAACATCGCACTGAGTGCATTAAAAAAAGAAATAGTCTGGTTTATATCTGTAAAATGTTGCAGAACTCTTATCAGTCTCAGTGGCGCAGCTCGTAAGACGCATGTTAACATGTTTTGACACATTCGAGCATGAACTCGGCTCGAATCCAGCGTCTGATGATCTCTTTCTTGTTTTTTCCCCCGCTACATATCAGATTTTGCCTACTATTTATCACGAGAAAGACAAGTAGGAATCATCAATAAGTTCATATCAATAAGCATCATATTTTATTTGCACATTTATTGAATGGAAATGTTTCTGATTCACGCATGCAAATTCATCTTCAGATAGTGTCTTTATAGCGATGTGCGTGCAGTAGATCGCTCAGATTACATTGAGAAAACAGGCGACCGCTGCAAATTGTGCTTTAATGTTTAGCTGGTCAACTGTATGATATGGAAACCTTATATACCTGCTGAACCCGTCTCATACAGCTGCCATTGCAAGGCTCGGACACTTTGTAGAGAGGAATTTAACACAACTGCCTCTAGGAGTCGCCAATGGAAATAAAACAGACACGCACAAAAAATGTGCGTACGCCTGCCAGAAAGCTGCCGTGGAGCTGCGCACATCCCCACGTTCAGTTCATTGTTAGTGAATCCAAACGTGAGCGATTCTGAGCGTGAAACCTGGCGTACACAAAGTTTTTGTGCATACGCAGCGTTGATACATGAGGCCCCTGGTGTTTTTATTATAATGTGTTCAAAAGTGTCAGGTTAGGGTGTGTACACTGTTTCCTGTATTAGGGGCGTGTTGCTTCACAGTTTCGGCTTCCCGCCCAACGTAACAAGGGGGCGGAGCCAAGAGCTCCTACGCTCTGTGTTTGCAACAGACAGGCTGACAGACAGAGAGAGAGAAGCTAAGCTGAGCTAGGATGAGCATTCAGCGGTACATGTACGACTCGGACACAGACCAAGCAGAGAGTACACAATCATTTGTGTCTTTGAAACATGAAGTGTCCCGAATCGTCGCGCCACACATTCCAGAACTCCAAACACAAGCCTCCACCAGGGCAAACACAACGCCGAGCCGCTGTGGAAATATACATTTCTATCATCTAATTCCAAATGAACAATAATCTACGTATAACTGAAAAGTTATATTCTTTGGTTTTTAATTATATCATTTCATTGACATGCCAGCTAGGAGGGTCATTTAACCTTTGCCTTGCTGACTACAGGCTAAGCCAAAGTGATGCAATTATCAGTTTCACAGCATGGTTGTGTCCATTGTTTCTCTTTTCGATCAACTGGTCAGGCGGTTTCTGTCTCCAGAACATGATGAGATCAGGCCTGAAAAAGCAGTTTACCCTGCCGACCACAACTCTTAATGTGCATGCTTTGTTTAGCCATCTCCCCTCCTCCTAAGAACACAATATAGACATGAAATCTTTGTCTTAATTCAGACTTGTGACAGAACTTGCAGACTGTGGACCTCTAGTAGGCTCTTGCAGACACATGGACATCTTAAAGACGCTGTATGACTGCAGATTAACCAACACGTCTCAGTAAAGGAATTCTGCTTGTTTCGAGTCTCCTGGACTGGGTTCTCTCTTCTTTTAACTCATTTATTTTTTAACAACACCGCTGACCCGAAGCTCCACCGCGTGCACCGCGACAGAAACCCAGGCCCAGAACTCCGCCGCGCCATACAAAAGGTACAAGCAATAATTCCGATTAGAGCGATCATGTGGAGAACATTGATGTTGTGTTGAGCTCAATGAGCTCTTCATCTAAAAATAGAGCACAGGTGTTCCTTTAGTGATATCGCTTTGACTGAAAATGGCAGACGTGCAACAAGAAACTGAGGATATGATCGTGACGCGAGGCTGTCAATCAACATTGGTGGGCGGGGGGACCGCTCTCCTACGTAAAGTTGTGGTCGGTCTGAAAACCGCTCCAATTGGTCCACCGTTTTTTTGTTGTTAAATTGTAAATTGAAAAAAAAAGGACTTTGTGTGTTTATATCAACCCGATATGACGGTCTATACACTATACTTACACACACGTCTGTCCAAACAGCTTGAACAGTAGATTTTTCACCATAGGTGCCCTTTAAATAAGGAGAAACTCACAATAAAGTGGGATCTTACCTACAGAAACGTTGAGATAGAAACTCTTTCACCATCCTCTACTGGTGGTTGGAGACGCCCGATAAGACCCTACTCCATATTCAATAGGAAATACATCATCTTACTGAAATAACACTCTCAGCAGCTTTCGCTTCACGCATTTTTTATTGTGTGGAACAAAAACAGTCCAAAAAGGAGACAAAACAGCAAAGCTGGAGGGGTCTGGTCTGACTCTGATCATTCTGATGCTGCTTTTGGACAGAGGAAAAGGTCAGAGTTATGAGGAAATAACGGCAGATTTGTTTAACTATTCCATTAATAAGACTTTATTTACAGTGTTTGAAGAATAAATGTCTTGCTTGTGTCTGTCAAGCATGTGTTGGTTCGGTCTGGAGTGGTTTAACCCGATAAACATGTTGGTTTCTTCATTTTTCTTCATTAATTTCATTTTTTGTGTGTGTTTATTCAGTAGTTTTGTCACTGCGCTGATGATTGTTCCTGCATGATCACTCATTGTGCTCGTTCACTAGTTGAACTGCTATCGTGTGTTAAATCAGCTCCGTCTCTGTGTTTCAGGAGTCTGAGGAGGTTAAAGCTGATGCTGAAGACGCTCCAGTAAAGACAGAACACCTGACGGATGGCCTTCAGGTAAAAGATCACGTTTATTATAATCAGACCATAGACTGTAAAATATATGGACGTAGTGTCCGTGACATCACCCATAGGTTTCTAAAGAGCGCAATAGAAGCCACAAGTAGGCGTGGCCAACCGTCGCCGTTTTTGTTCGCGCATCATCACACCCACGGTGGGATACCAAACATGGGCAAAGAGGCAGAGAGTGAGCGGAGCTACAGACACCTGCTGGCATTTAGCTTGGACCTGGTTCAGACACTCTTTACTTTGGGAGAACGCTTAATACTTCATCACCTGCGACTCGCTTGTGTTCTGACCACTTGTGCTTGGTTGTACACTATATCAATAAAGTGTTTAGACTTTTAAAAACACTGCTGTAATACACTAGACACTAAGCATTGTTCTTATGACGTTTCTCAACAGGAGGAAAACGCGAATTACACCCAAACACTTCAGATATAGTCTGTGTTAGTTAATGTAAGACTATTGATGAACTCCAGCATAACACTGTATGACAACGCTTCAGATGACTGATCTACAGCCTACAGCTGATCAATCTGACAGATTCTGGAGTGCATTACAGCTCTAAATATAAACGATAAATGATCTCAAATAAAACAAATACATGTATAGAGATGGTATATAAGTATATAACTTTACTCACATGGGAAACGGAGGCCACGTGAATGGTTAGTGAGCACAATTAAGTGCACTCAGCATGCCATGCCATCTAATAATTGTAGGAAACAAGTCCAAAAGGCAGTTGAGTGTGTAAAGCCACAGAAAACAACACAGAAATGCGATAAATATGCCGAGTTCAGTGGCTAATCTGCCGGATTCAGCTGAGGTGACGTGACGGCGACCAACGAGACCTAGCTGTCACTCAAGTGGCCACGCCCTTAATTATGCAAACTTAATATAAAGGAAACGGATGAGTTATAAAAAAATTCACCCCCTCACAGTTGTCATGAAGGGTAATATTAGCTGTATTAACCAAAATCTTTCTTTGTAGCAGGCTGTAAACACCTTTTATTCTGCTGTAAAGTTGGCCATTCTAACAGTGGGCTCAATTGAAATTTGCTCTGTTTTGGAGCAGGAGCGGCCAGGACTAGCCGAATATCAGATGAATTGCAGTTTTAGTTACTTCCGTATTGGCTTCCTGAGGGAGAGCGGGAGGTTGCCGCTTGAATCAGACACAAAAACGGGTGCATGGAGACTCTACTGTTGGAGACCGCTGTGACGATGAGAAGCACAGAGAGAGATTCAGGCAATAAGTGTTTGTGAAGAGCGCAGAGTGACAGACTGGTGTGTGAAATGAGTCTCTGAGCACTGACTTTCACACACACACACACACACACACACACACACACACACACACACACACATTATTCCTGCAGCGCTCTTGATGAAAAACTCCACACACCTCACAGTCTTTACCAGCGCTGTCACAGAGCGGGAGATATTTAATCTGTGTGAGAATCAGAGAGTCAGAAGATGAGCTGTGTGTGTGTGTGTGTGTGTGTGTGTGTGTGTGTGTGTGTGTGTGTGTGCATGGGGAGAGTGTTGTGTGAGATTAAGTGTGTGTTTTGTGTGAATGAGTGTTTGAAGGTGTCTGTGTTTAAGTAAAAGAGAGAGAAAGTGTTTTTGAGGGAAAAGGAGAGTGTGAGCGTGTGTGAGACAGATGTTTGTATGAGTGCGTTTCTGTGTGTGTGTGCATGAGATTTAGTTTGAGCGTGCGTGCGTGTGTGTGTGTGTGCTCCTGCTGCTGATATCCTTGATCGTAAATCCCGTCTGTAATCTCCCTCATAGCTCTATCCTGAAGATCTGCTGCTTTAATGCTCCGCTGGCTTGTACAGATCCTCCATTAGTGTCTGATTTACAGTCTCGTCTCGTCACAGGTGACATCACAGCAGATTTATATTGTGCAATAACACAAGATGCTGAACTATGAAAGAAACACACACTAGAGTCACGTATATCACAGAGCCTGAGATCAGATCACACAGGGAGGAAAGCTGGTGATAGGAATCCTGTAAAGACGAGACTTATAAAGCGTTTGTGCATCAGATATGATGGAGAAGCGGAGCTTCTGTGCCTCTGCGAGTGTTTGAGCAAATCTCTCTGATCAATAGAGGGATTAACACACCAGATGAGATATGCAGAGGTCACGTTTATAATACATGCATTCAACGCTGCATTCTCTTAGCTTTAAAGGTGCGTGTGTAAGTTTGACACCCAGTGGTTGAACTAGGTATTGCATTCCTGGATCAAAACACACGCAAGAGCAGGTTGCCAGATTGAAGACAGAGAGCAGTAAGTCTGACTATGGAAACTGAGGCTGGTTTAAGTCGTCTTCTAAATAAAAGAAACGACATGCAATAGAGTAAATATTTTCCATATTAAAAAGGAGTTTTTGTCCAAACCAACACCTGAAATTAAAATATTACAAATGGCTTCAATTTCTCAGAAAACTGACTTTTATTCAGTGTTAAATGCTAATAATGTGAGTCTGAATGCTGTTTTACGTAACATTTATTGCCATACTACTGAAAGCAGCAGCAGATAGTTCAGCTCAGGTCTGGAAAATAAAATAAACCATTTAGAGCTGTGATTTAGCGCAAACTAACACATATCAGTGATTCAGCGTCTACATTTAATCATGTTAAAAAGCTTAAATATGTATTCATTAGATTATAAAGCTGACCATTGTGCTGGAGTGCAGTGAGTGCACTATTCTGTGCTTCTGAATGGCTGTGTTTACATTTCTGTCTGGTGTAAACAGCCCAATTGCTCATCACTGCATATCTCGTTAGATAGCGTGTTACAATGTGACCTGCTCACCTAATGTTTATGTTCGTAATATTTATATTATTTGCTAATTAATAACCTCATGTGGAACTCTGAATCTGCGGCTCATTTCGGAGTCTGCTACTGTCCACCAGAGGTCACATTTCAGTCACAGACGCATGCTCTGAGAGTCTTCCTGACTGAATGAATGAAATGTTTTCCACCATCTGGCAACCCGGAGTTCTGGAATATATTTGGCTAAACTGGCATTGGGCTGGTAAAAGAGACCATCCGCTTGTTAAGTGATGACGTGTTTGTGACCGTATGTAATACTGTTTCCGGGTCCAAGCCGCCATTCATTTGAGTGGAGAAATCATTCGTTTATGATCGCGTTTTATTCCTATCACACATTAAAGTTAATTTTATATAAAGTCATAGTGTACACAACAATCTCTGGGCTAGCTGCATAACAAATACCAAAAATTTAACAATTTATAAAAAAAATTGATCACTTTCTGGCCATCAGATATTAGGCATGGACATATATACTGCCATCGTGATTTTCGAAAGCCTTAAATCACTTTGTAAACGTTTATTATTACCATTTCATGAGTCTCCCCATTCAGTTGAATAGAGCGCTTGGACCTGGAAACCACTTCGCGTGACGTCACACTTAACAAGCGGATAGCAAAGACAGATGTTCCAGCACGTATCGCACATTCTCAAAGCAGAATATCTGACGTCAGCATTGTTTTTCAGATAAACAGGAATGTTCACTAAGCATGTTTCTGAAAATCTGAACACATATGATGGTGTTTTTATGATTTAGAAGAGTGAAAAACTCACATACAGCACCTTTAACTTTAGTCTTGCATTTACAATCATTTAAATTGAAAAGCGTTTGTTTATGGGATGAGTGTACTATTTTAATTACCTTTTTTTGGTGATACTAAAAATAATCTCTAAAATACACTTTATTTTTTATAAATTACTTAAAAATAGAGCAAGTTAAAATTAAAGAATTGTTTTGATGGAAAGGAATTGTACAGTTGGTAAGCTCTGTCTATTTTTATTTAATTAAGTCCAATTAATGGAGGTAGATTAGTGTCGTCTAGTGGGGAAGTATGTGTATATGTAAAGGTATGTGTGTTTTTTTCTCTGTTGTCATTTTTCACTTTAAAAAAATGAAGTGCTTCTTGTTTTTAAGACTACTTTTTAGGTCTATAATTTGTTTTTTGTGTAAAATTGCTGCCAAATGTCACGAGTCTAAAATGGCCAAATACTACAAAATTTCAATGATATGTGTTTTATAATGTAATAACCCTAAATGAATGGATGGAATGAATATTTCTTGTTGGTTTATTTCTCGACTCACAGCTCTTTGATATTATGGTTGATGCAGTGTCAATAACGAATGCTTTCCTTCTATTTCTCCTAAATAATATTTGAGAATAGATTTAGTGTGTCCCATGAAGATTGACAGGTGCTCGTATTGAGGAAATAGTTTGTCTTGAAGCTTGCACACTCAAAAATGGGCTTTTCAGGCTTAGTATACGTAGGAGAATTGTGATTCTGCAGTGATGTGAAGTGTGCTGTG